TAGGCCTGCTACAATGATTAAAAATAGGAAGGGTGATAGGGGGTCCCCTTGCCTAAGGCCTCTTGTCATTATAAATTGTCTTGTTGGGCTGCCATTAACTAGTACTGACACAAGACTTGCTCTCAAACATTCCATGATCCAATTCCTCCAGATTCCACAAAATCTCATCTGTTGCATCATATAATCAAGGAATTTCCAGCTGACTATATCATATACCTTCTCAAAATCGATCTTGAACATGAATGTTTTCTTCTTCTTCTTTTTACTTCATCAATCACCTCATTTGCAACCACTCCTCCATCCATTAATTGCCTTACACTAATAAATGTCATCTGTTGTTCACCGACAATCCCATCTAGGACCTCCTTTAACATGTTAGCTAGAAGCTTTGCAAGGATTTTATACATTACACCAATAAGGGAAATGGATCTATATTCCTCTATCTTCTGTGGGTTATGCACTTTTGGCACAAGGACAATAAAAGAAGTGTTTAGTCCTCTTATCAACTTGTCGTTTTTATGAAATTCATGTAGGAATCCAATTACATCCTTTTTTATTAACTCCCACTAATTTTTGACAAAACCAAAATTGAACCAATCTGGTCCTGGTGCTTTCGAGATATCACACTCCCGCATTGCTGCCTCTATCTCTTCTTCACTGAATGGTCTAATAAGAAAGTCATTATCTACTTGTTGAATTTGCTTGAAGCTCACCCCATCTAACTTTGGTCTTTGCCATTGTTTTTTTCTGAATATGCCTTCAAAAAAGGAAGCAATCTCATCTTTCATTCTGCTAACACGCTCGATTTGTGCTCCTCTGATTTGTATAGAGGTCATTTCATTCCTTCTCCATCTGCCCTTGACGCACTTATGAAAGTACTTTGTGTTGGCGTCTCCATTGATCAACCATGCCTTTCTAGATTTCTGTTGCAGCATACTTTCCTTGCTCTTCATGCTTTCCCAAATAAGAAGAAAGTCCTCTCTTCTTGTTATGATTTCTTCCTTAGATAGCTGTTCCTCTTCTCCTTTCATATCAATTTGTGCTATCTTTGTAATAACCTTTCTTATTTTGCTGTCTATGTCAGGGAGTAGTGTTTTGCTCCATCTTTTCAAAGCTTCCTTAGTCAATTTTAGCTTTTCCTTGAGTCGGAATCCTGCCTACCCTTGAATATCTCTTGTTCCCCACACTTCTTTAATCAACTCCCTGCAACCTTTTTGTTGAAGCCATGCATCAAAGAATTTGAATGGCTTAGGCCCCCAATCAACATGTTTGTGTTTAAGTAAGATTGGGCAATGATTTAACACTGTTCTACTTAGACCCGATTGTCTAGCTTTACTCCACTTCGTCAACCACCCTTCAGATAGTAAAAATTTATCAATTCTGCTCATACTGTTCTTGTTAGGCTGATATCAGGTGAACTTTCTACCCACTAGTGGAATATCAATCAATTCTACTTCTTGTATAAAGTTATCAAACTCTCTCATCTCATTAGTAATGCCTCTGCTTCCCTTTTTCTCCTATTCCTTTCTTACTGCATTGAAATCTCCCGCAATACACCAATTACTCTCTCTTGTTAATACCAAGTTTTTTAGCTCTGCCCACATAACTCTTTTCCCTGGTAAATGGCACGGGGAGTACACATTTAAGATAGAAACCACAACCCCCTCAAGACCTCATATCCCTTTTATTCCTATAAAATTCTCACCCTCTATAGCTCTAGTCATTGTGAGAGATTTTGAATTCCATAAACAGAGTATACCTCCAAACATTCCACATGCATCCTTTGATACCCATTCAAAATCATCTGAACCCCACACCATTTTACATGTTTTTCTATCCATCCTTGTCATTTTCGTTTCTTGTATAGCTAAAAAATCCACTTTTTCTCTACTCACTAATTCTCTTAACTGTCTTTTCTTTTCAGCACCACCCAGACCTCTAATGTTAAAAGATAAACTATTCTTGGTTCTGTTTCACTAACCTTTTGTTTTTTTTTCCTAAGTCCTTTGAGCACTCAGTTTCCTTTGCCCTTTTGTCTTGCATCTCCATCTCCTCAAGATTGGTGATGATTGGCTCTTCGTTCTCAGTAACAACCCCAATGTTTTTTGCAAAATCCCACAAATCTTCTGCAATTCTCTGACTGGGATGTTCCTTCAGCAATCTATTGCAATTTTGTATACCACTATCTACCACAAAACCCCTTGCAATTGAGTTACTTATTCCAAGTAAAAACCTCGGAATTCCTTCTCTCCAGGCTTCCTTTGCTCTCTCTCTGGCTCTGTTCTTCTTTCTCTGACCCATTAATCATTGGAGACTTGCTTTTTGGTAGACAGATTTACACGATTTTGCTTTCTTCTTTCTCCTTTTTTTGTCTGCTTTATTTCTTGCTACCATCCACCCTTTTTCACTTCCTTCTTCACTTTCTAGGTCTGCCCAAAACTCTCTGTTGTTTCCTGACGGATCCCCTATTTTCACTTTGCTTTCTTTTTGTTGCAAATTTTGCATTTTAGATCTATGTTCAATCCTAGACTCATTTTCCGTGCTTTTGTTGCAGCCCTTCAGTTCACTAGTCCAGTTGTCCTTCACCTCTCCCTTTTCACATTTATGGGCTTGGCATGGGGCCTTTGTAATGGGCTCATCTTGCAAGCCCAAGTCATTACCAGTTGAACTTTCTATAGTGTCTGTGGTAATCTCTTTTTGTGGCCTATTTTCATATAACCCAGCCTCTGCTCTACCTCCCAAATCATTAGCTTCTAGAAACATATCAAAACTGTCAGCTGCTACCTCTACTGATTCTTCTTCTCCCAGCCGGCTATAGGGAAAGCTGTCCACTGCTTTGTATCCTTTCACATCATATCCTTCTTCTTCAAATTCAAATTCTACCTCGTTTTGTGGGGTGGCAATCGACCATTTATCAGTTTAACTTAATTCCCTATTTTCTCCTTCTTCTCCTTTTCCGCCGATGGGCGATTCTAGGTCAGCATCCTAATCATCTTCTTCATGTTGGATCTCCAATTCATTGCAATCTGACCATGATTCTTAATAATCTGAATTAGTGTTGAAATTTGGCATGAAATCATATCTCATTGAGAACAAACTATTTGTCATCTCCTCTTCCGTGAATTTCAAATCATACATGATTCCATTAACTTTGATTCTTCGCTTAACTGATATTGAATCCATAATTTGCGTGGATATCAAGAATCTAGCCACATCAAACCTTCTTTTCCTGCTTGTGTTGTCATCCAGGCAAACAAATTTTCCCCATGTCACTGCCATTGACTCGAAAAACTCCAACCCCTAAGCATGTAGTGGGGTGCCTTGGCATCTCATCCATACAAATCTTTCTTTTGCCACTGCTGTAGGTGTCCAGGGCTGAAAATCTGTGAACCATTAGCCTAGCCAGTCCGCAACCCCCTGTACTAACTCTTTTAGTTCCTCCTTATCCTCACAGTCCATTAATACCAACTTCCCCCCCTTAGCTCGGAGTCGACATGAAAAATAACCTTCCATGTAGAGCTTTTCTTGTAGATTCGGGATAATTTCTATAAAGTGGGCTGTTCCAACATAACATCCACGTAGCCACTCATAGTCTTCTTCCTTGACATTGTACTCAATACCTGACCACTTCACATCTCCATTCTTTCTTCTCCATGTCTATTGTTGTTGAGGTTGTCTGTGTACCTCTATTCTTCTATCATCTTTATAAACGCAAGCTGGCCTTTTCTTCATTGGATGGTCCTCTGATCTCTAAGAATTCTTTTCTTGCTGTCCTTTGACTACATCAGCATACGTTTTCCCATGTACAACTGAGTTTGTGTTTGTAATTCTCCTAATCTCCCTAGACTCAGTTTGCTCCACTGGGTATTTGGAAAAATTTACCTAGATTTTGTGACCTTCGTTCTGAATCTGATCTAGTTGGTTCTCCATGGCCATCGCATTCTCTACCTCCAGGAACCTAACGAACCTGAATCTCCTGCCATTTTTGCTTCTTCTCTGAGGACTGTAGATAGCATACACCCTACTGAATTTCCCAAAAATCCACCACATTTCTGAGTAGCTCCAATTGTTGGGGAAATTGGTAAAGAAGAAAACCGTAGCCTGCTTGTATAACCCCTTGTCAGATCCCCATTCCATATTCATCTGCTTTTGTCTACTCTGTCCTCCATGCTTTGTGCCCTCCATCCCCCATTGTCACCTGCTATCTCTTGGTCGTTCATACTCTATGTTCAGCACCTTCCATCTAACCCATGGTTGCTGTCCGGTGCCTGCATCCCTGCTTCTCTCTCTACCTATTTCTCTCATTCTCAGTCTTTTTTACCTTAACTCAAAAGTGTTTTTTTTATCCATTTTTTTTTAATTTTATAGTTCTTTTTCTAATCATATTCTTGTATTGTTATTTTTATATTTTTGTGTTGATAAATATTTGTAATTCATGCCCCTCCATCTACAGATTCGGGCTGCGCCACTGGCATGGAGTTGATGTTGTCGGGTGCTAGTGGTTGGTTTTACGATTGCCGTAAAGGTGTGGGCGGATAGTACATATGTTCACTTACAATTTTGTGGGTTGGAGTACCCTAACTACTAAATTCACCTTTTAAACTGT